AGCGGAAGAGAGGGTTACCGTACGTACAAGAGTCTTCCATTTCTTACGGAAGCTCTTTCTTACTGATCAATCAAGTAGTACAAGAACTGTATCTTAGCTTATAGCCTGGGGCGGCGGGTCGCCTTTTAAATTAAGTAGATAGAAAAAAGTATTAAATAGATAAGGAGTAGGTGAGTGAGTGAGTCCTCCTGACCCGGGCGATTCGATCACCTAGCAGGCCTTTTATTTGGTAGGTAACATCGCCAAAGCGTATCATCAGATTTGACTACAAAGGAAGGAACTCAAAGTGAAAGGGCACCGTCTTGTGCAAGGCAACGATAGTTAGCCCTCTATCATCTTCTATATGGTAGAGTTGGTAAAAGGGCCCCGACTTATTTCCAGAATAAGAGTTCGACCGCGACTTCCCCCTTTTTTTGGGGGGATCAAATTCCTTGCCAACTGCCACCTATCGACCCCGACCTCTTTTCATTTGTTTTGGATATTACCAAACCTAGCCTAGCCTTCGTAAATCACACTAAAACGGACACCCATCTATGGAAAAATCTCCTTAAGGGTGGGTTAGGTTGGTCAATCCGGCCCGAGATGCGTTTGTTGACAAAACTGCCGTAGGAATTCCTACTTTTCAATAGAGCGAAGGCAAACTGATCAACGAGAAAGAGGCCCTACTCACTACAAGNCCTTCGTAAATCACACTAAAGCGGACACCCAACTATGGAAAAGCCTCCTTAAGGGTGGGTTAGGTTAGTCAATCCGGCCCGAGACGCGTTCGTTGACAAAACCGCCGTAGGAATTCCTACTTTTCAATAGAGCGGAGGCGAACTGATCAACGAGAAAGAGGCCCTACTCACTACAAACGAATACACCACAAGATCGAACTGCACTCATGCCTCTCCCGCATCAAGTTGACCGCCCCCCTACGTAGTGATTCTATCAATCATGTACGCAGGTAGGACCCTCCGTTCTGATTGGTATATCATGAAAAAAGAAAGCCATTTGCACCGGGCGCACTGCGCTTTCCCTTGCCCAGATGTTCACCTTTCTAAGTCAAGTAATGGTGACCCACCGAAGACCGGAGCTTTGTAACATGTTGACGAAGGCCCCCGAACTGAGGGTTCGGCCAGTAGAAGGGACGACTTTGTCTCCGAGGAAGAAGAATAGCCCCGCTCTCTAGCCGACTGATCCCGTTGATCATATAACTGGGAGGGAATGTGTTGATGGGTCTCTAGCTTCTCTTTAGTGTAAATTCATTGAAAGGTGTAGTGGCTTATCGACTTGTTTTTATAACATAAAAGGAGATTGAAGAGACTTTTTAGTCAACTTAATTTTGAAACATCTTGTGGTTCAGCATGCCTTATCCTAAAGCCGACATACCTATTTCTTCGATAATCAGACTTTTATCTCCCTATACAGAAGAAGATTCAATAGCAGCATTATCGTAGAGAACAATATATTGACATACCCTTGATGTAGTATCCATATGATGTGGAGCGAGTCTATTTTCACGTGCTTTTGCTTTTCCACCCTCGTTTGCAGTAGTTTCATTTTGCATAGCCACATGATCTAGTACATTATTGTTTATCCTGAAACAAAGTATAAAGCAAGCCATTACAGTTGTAATGACAAGCATCTGTAAGTCAAATGCCCTTTGAGATGTTACACTGCAAGTCTACCATCGAGTCCACACAAACTAACAAACTAGTAGATAAGGAAGTGCTGACAGACATGGGAATTGACATATTAAATGCATCCGAAAAACAGAATTGACATGTTGAAAAAATGTATGCACGACATCTGGCAAATTAGATGGTCTCAAAATACCCAAGTTGTTGTGCATTGCCCGTTTGGGACATCAAGTAAAGCTGGAACAGCCCCTTTTTTTAACCAACATTGCACTAGCTATGACAATAAGAGTTGGCTTCACATACCACTTGAACCTTATGCATGCATCCCAAAATTCACTTACAGATATGAATTTTCTATAGGAACATTCATTGAGGAAGAGGCATTATCTTCTGCCGTTGTTGATAGAGATGTCGAGCGTTCTGTAGTAGTAGTTGGTGATACGAGCAGCATAGCTCCAATACCAATCTCATTAGGAGGAATATTTTTGTTCCTGTCATAAATTAGAATATTTTCATCAATGGCTGATATATTCTCAAAGTCTGGTTCCTGTAGAATATAATAAAGTTGCCTCTGGAGTCTTTCAACAGGTGACAAAATTTGTTGTCTAAGCTCTGATCTCTTTCTTCTCGGGACACTATCAGGATTCCAGAGAGGATCTTTGTCTGCTTCTCCTAATAAAAGGTGAACGTTAGCGCATGCAAAACAATTAGGTATCAGTTTATTAGACCTTTTTTTTATGGGTTAAGCTTTTATTATTTGTATGGTTAAGGTATAATTGGACTGATCAGTTCATATCTTAATTATTGAGAATCCAAATTACCTGAAGTTTGGCAATGTCAGTTTATTGTGTAAAAAAAAGTAAGTTTTTGAAGCTTAGGGAGACACTATAATTAATGGCCTATGAGCAAGAAAGAAACCCAATATTTAGTTTATAGAGTATCATATGGTGATTGCACCCCTACTGCTTATTTGGTAAGACCTCAGATGTGATTAGACATTGCATAATTTGATAAACACATCACAATAATCGAAAATGAAAAGACTTTCCTGCATAAGAATAAATCAGACTGTCATTCAAGGTGAATTTGATATATGCATGTCGTGTTGGCTTAAAGCTCATGATGTAGCGATCCTTTTGAGTATTAGGTACTGATGAAATCCTAACATAAAACAACCACTTGGAAAGTGGGAGTATACTGATGAAAATTCTGTTTAATTGGTAAATTTGTTGTGTAGGGTCTGAAGACTCTTCCTCTGTTTTCGCTTCTTCTTTTGTTTAAATTTTTGGGGGTTTGGGGGGAATCAAATGTAACCATTGGAAGAAGAAAAGTTCTTAGTTGGATTCAATAATAATATTGGGGGAAAATGTCTTTGTCCTTTTATTTTGAATCAGAAGAAGATGCACTGCATGATTATTTTTTGGGAAGGCGAATCTAAAGAGATTTGGTTGCCTGATTGCATCTCTCTCTCATAATGTTTTTCGAACTATGCTGAGAGTTTTGGGCTTATTATCAACCAGAAGAAAATCATTCGCCTGAAATTGAATAGGAAGCTAATAGCTTCCTACCTTTTTCATAACCCTTGTGCTTAAGAAAGGATTTAATTCAGAATGTGTGTCATATTTTCCGAGAGAAGTGCTCTATGTATAAATGAAATTATTTTACCATTTGTTTCTTCCATCTGTATGCAGTTGTCCGAAGATGATCCTGCTGATCCTAAGCTTGATATGTTATTCATTTCCTCTTCAAGACAAGCTGAAGAGCCATCCTTTCCAGCAACCTCTGGTTCAACTTCTAGCTTTTGGTCTTCACGAGCTAAGACATGCGGCTTCATCTCAGAAGGTAATTGATAGCTTTGAGTTTCTCTGTATGCAAGTTTGGGAAAATAATCATCTAGAGTCCCCCTAATTCGCCATCTTGATCCACATGCATTGCAGAGCACTGGTCTTTCAGGTGGTCCTGTTCTCCAAAGGGGGGTTTCTGTATGAGTTTACAATTCCTTAGTGTTGAAACTTGGTAAAAAATATGAATATGTTCATACAGGTCAGAAACTTATCTCAGAAACTAAAGCACGATGATCATTGACAATTAAGATTACCTGTAAAAAAGCTATAGAATATATGACACAAGAATGAAAAGTGCTATGATCTAAAAGTATCTAAAGCGAGGAGCAAAGGAAATTTTTGGGTAAAACAAGGGGAAATATCTCTCCGTAAAACATGCATCAACATTTAGGATGTGTCAACTGTTTTGGTATTTGCAGTTTCACACCATGTTAAGGAACCATATAAAACTAGTTTAATTCTTGTCAAACTGCATTTAATTGCATTTTATTTATAAGGAGTTTGTAGGTAACCATAGATACAGTCTCAAGCCTATTCACTTCAGTTTACTCATATGTCCTCTAGCTGAATGGCACCTGCTTGCTTTTATTTTTCTCAGACGTAACCTTCAGTACTCCAAGTCTGTTAATGGTTTGAGGGCTTGCAGGATTTTAAAGGATACCTTACTATTGGAAGACCTCATGTCAAATAGAAATATGTAAACGATGTCAATATCTTTTATTTTGGTTTCATCACTCCCTCGTTGAAGGAAAAGAGTTGTCCAGATTCATGGCTTGTCATAGTATCGAAAGCGCTGGACCATAGCCATGACAAGTATACAATTAAAGACTTATTACATAGTGTGAACATTAATAACTGGATAGATTGGGAACGACCAGCCCGTTCTTTGAGCACTCTGAGCAAATATAAACTTCTTAGTTTATGGTCTTTAAGTTTCTAGAAAGTATGGACTCTGGACAATTGTGTGAATGAAGTTTTGAAGTGTGTGACCATCTCATCTAAAAGGTTAAGTTGTTAGAGAGAGAGCATACTTTTATTTACTTAATTATGTCTTGAAAATTCTTTTTTGGTTATTAGGTAGCGGTGAGACTCGAACCCAGGACCTCTGCCTGCTCTGATATCACGGTGAAGTGTGTGACCATCTCATCTAAAAGCTTAAGCTATTAGAGAGAGCGCNTAGAGAGAGCATACTTTTATTTACTTAATTAAGTTGTATCTCGATTTAAAGTAGCTCAAGAATAGCATACATTCATTCAGGACCTTTCCCCTCCATGTTGCTTGCTGTTCTAAATCGATCTGTATATGAACAACTTTTGCTCAAAAAAAAGTTCGGAATATACATCATCTAGAAATTAAGGACCACGGTTGCCAAAATATTAAATAAAGGGGGACTAACTGTGAATGAATGCCAGGGATTGGGGGACCAAATCTGCAATTTATCCTAGATGACCTTTGCTCCTGTTTGACTAATGGCTGCTGTACTGGAAATCAATTAACATTTGGCTCGAGAGGTGAGAGAGATAAAGTACTCTATGTTTTATGTTTAGCAGATAGGCAATTTAGGGAAATTTGGGTACTTAGTGTTTCATGCATGTGAGCCTTCAAATTTTATTTGCTGAAGATCAGGAACGAAAATTCTATGCATTACTGAATGAAGTACCCTTTTAAAGCATGAGATTATTGATAAACACAAAAGGTGGAATATAGGTGGTTAATAGAACTTACGCTCGATGCCACAATGGAAACATGGCCCTTCTCTAACCATGAAATCTGTTTTTGAATGATTCCAGTTCAAATCAGGTTGAATGTGCTGCTGTTAAAATGTCTTAGTGAGGTGACAAATCACAAGATATGTAAACAGATAAGAAATCGGTAGACTACAGCTGGTTATTTTCATGGCAAGATGAATCAGTAGAGAGTTGTCATTAACTTCGATCTATTATGAACTATTCTGTTTTCCCTTATGACAGCTCATCAACTTTAATTACTATAATTTTCTCAACTATTTCCACCATTACCCCCAATGAGAGAAGTCTTAGATTCTCTTCGAAAAGTGGTGGGGGTGGGGTGTGAAAGCTGGATTTGGTGAATCTTCATAATTTTAGGCTTTTTGTGTAGTGGTCAAGGCTTGTTAAGCAACGAATCTTAAGGCAAGAGAGCTTTAAATAGTTTCAAGATGATAATTCAAATATAACAGGGAGCAAATAAAAGAGTTGCCTAATTACAAGGATGTATATGCAGTAATAGTCTGCAATTGTGGGAATCCGATTTTGTATTGAAAAATCCGAAGGTCCTCAGATTGCACTACTGAGCATATACAGAAAATAAAGACTGCATTCAGTTTCTTTCCAATTCTGTTTTTTTACATTTATTTCCCTTTGCACTAGTACAATAATCAAATAAACCGTTTTGCCTAAATTCAAGATGGTGTGATTGACAGTCTGCAGGTGGGAGATGAAGTACATACACAGGTGGCTGATAATTGGATACATTTTTCCTATTTGGCATGCATGCCTTATC